GATGTAGGTTAGGCAATTAAATACTCATGTACTGTATGTATAAATTTATTACCATAACTGAAGGTGAGTCATGTAAATTTATGTTTTTATAAAACAAGTAGTGCCCCCCCCCACCCCCCGACCAATTTCCTTGGAGAAACACTGAATTCTGTTCAAATAAAGAACTTTATGTTTACTAAGTTGTTAACTAATTATTTGTGAGTTAATATTKCCATAATGTACAGTGAAATAAAAAAGTAAATAAAAAAATCGAACCTGTAAAACTGATGATAAATGTGACGCAGTTGAAAATTCGGGTGCACCTTACTTTTATGCTGGTGAATCTAAGAAARAAAGTTAGGTGCACCTGTGCAACCACTGCAAAACTTTAGACTAAAGCTCTGTGTTTACTTTCAGGGTTTGACCAAAACAGCTACAACTCCATAATTTAACGTAAGAGGATCTTGGCCTAAACGTCTGTCTTAAAAGGTGGCGAGAACCATGCATTCCTTCAAGGAATAACAGGCCTTTTAAAAAACTAGGTTGATAAGATGGTTTCCTTTAATGGCAGTGTGAGCAAAGTCACACAAAGTGTATCTGTGGAAATGTAAAGCATCACCGTCAGTGTGAGTAAGACTTGGTTTATCTGATTCTCAGAAAACACCAGAGTAACCTGTCCTGCATACTTACATCCTGCAGGCTTCCATCTAATTTTCATGAGAGCTGTGAAGAACCAGAAAAATAAAACACTACTGCAAACTCCAAAGGCAACTGAGCACAAGCAACATGAAAAGGAGAGCAAAAACAAGTTAATGGAGACTAATGAGCTATCAAGGAGCAAGACAACCTACGGTGTCTAGTTTTGGGCTAAACAGTCAAGGCTTTTGATTACTAAGCTCCCAAGATCCAAGCTTGGGCCTGGTTCACACGGCAGGATAATCGTGCCGATTTTTGCCCTTCTGACAATCTTAAGGATGCTCATATTATCGTAATGGCTGTAAAGATAATTTTAGCAGATATTCCTGGCATGTGCTAAAAATGATCTAGTCGGGACCACTCCGACCTCGAATCGGGGAAATTCAACATGTTGGATTTTTTTGGTCCAATATCACACCRTGTGTGGCATTCACCTGAGAACAAATGAGCTCATAACCTGCTGAATGTGACGTGCAGCCAATCAGAAAGCAATGTGACAGAAACACGGAGGGGAATCCAAAATACAGAAGACAAAAAATAAACTGTCAGGAATCACCCGAAGGTCTGCTGGTCGTTAAAGTCATTTTGAATGTTTTTTCTGTTAAAAATGGTCCACAAACAATAAACACTGTTTCTTCCTCGTCTCAAATGTTTATTGACTTTGAACTCACGTCCGACCTCTGGAGGTCATGCTAGATTTTTCTTCTGATATTTGAATTCTCGTGAGATTTCAAGGAGTCTCGTGATTTCACGCCTGACATCTGAATGTTCATGAATGAAATCTGTTGGTGTGTTGTCTYTTGCCGTGTGGCTGTACATCACATMCTGTAGGACTAAACCTGGTATATCCATGGTTTTTTTGTCCWCACAYGTGGGGTCTCAGTCTTTGAAAATCAGCCGACAATTATAAAATCTTGCCGTGTGACACAGGCCTTACAGCCGTGAGACCTGATGCTTGGTCTCATTGGGTGGTACAGCAAAGTAATAATAAACAAAACTAAAAAAAGATCTTTWTAAAACTCCAACCTGCATGTGACCGGTGCAAAATGTTCAGAGTTTCATTGTAGTTCAAACATGAATAATGGTGCGTTCACACCGAACGCGATTTCAGCGTCAAGAGCAGCAGGTTTACATGCAAAGTCTATGGTGGACGCGCTTCAATC